TATATATATTTATATTTATTCATTTATTTATAATATTTATATTTATATTTATATTAATCGGTGTGTGTGTGTGTGTGTGTGTGTGTGTGTTAAATTTTACATGATATTCTTCTTTTTTTTTTACACTCGTCGTACAGAGGGAGGAAAAGGATGTCGAGGAAGGATTCTGCGTAAAGGACAGAGGTGGGAGAGATGGGGGTTTAGAAGTATGGTGTTCAGGGGTTAAATAGACCTTTCATACATTTACATTGTCTTCGTCGTAACTACTTTTTTCTTTTCTTCTTAAAGTGAAACTCTCCTCAGGACTTTTAGTCGATATCTTACAAACACATCTTTGTTATTATTTCGTTTATCTTGTACCGTTGCGTACGTATCCTCGCTCTTTCTCAACGAACTGTTCTCCTCTCGTCGTGTGATTTCGGCAGGTAGATGGAATTTCTTCATTTTCTCTCTCTTACTTCCTTTATCCCATTTTTTAAACTCTCGTCGATCCTCACCAACGAATCTCTCTGCCTCTCGTTTCGCCGATCGCACATCGGGCGCGTTTCTCTCCTCTCTTCAACGTCTCTCTTCGATCTCTTCGTCAAACGGGACATAGAAACATTTACTCGTGTACATCTAACATATTCGTGTATCTATACTTAAGTTTCTCTCTTATTTTCCTTCCTTTTTCTGTCGTAGAAGCTTCCGAACTTGCCTAATCTCGATTCGATCTGTGTTCGTCGTATCTTTCTTTCGAGCACGCAAAAGGACGATAGTATATGTTTTATTTGTCGAGAGAGAGAGATAGAGAGAGAGAGAGAGAGTCACGATCGTTACAATTATTTAAGCATTAAAATACGAATCGGTGCTTTTTTTCTCTCGTAACTCCTTTCGCCCTGTCGATTTTTCTTCAATTTTTCCTTCACGGTTTACTTCAGATACACGAATCCTCGGTGTGTGTGTGTGTGTGTGTGTGTGTGATCGCAGAATGCATTCATCAATTCACGATACATGGATGACGTTGATTTGGAAATTTGTCAGAATCGAAATGCATATTTGATGATTCGTTTATTGTACAAAGCAGCTCTTTAGAAATTGTTTCGTCGCGTTTTCTACGAGACAGTTTTTACACGCTATTGTACGTGAGAAAGAAACGAACGAATGTGTCATTTCTTCTTCTCTCTTTTTTTTTTTTTTTTTTCAGTGTTAAAATTTCGCCGAAAATTATCTATAGGTTCGCCTACCCGCCTCTGTAAATGCGTCGAATTTCTCTTTTACGTTTCACCGATTAAAAGGCTCTCAAAATATCGTTTATAAGTTTCTCTTTCCCCTATTATCCATATTGAGCGGAAAGGTATTGCTGTGTGGTTCTTTTTTCGTCAAGAAGAATTTCTGTCTTTTGATATGTCAGACGTCTAGCTCGCTCTCCTTTTCTCCCTCATTCTCTCGCTCTCGCATTCTCTGCTTTTGATTCTTCGTTTTTCACCCTTTCGTTTCCATCGAATCGCAAAGAAAAAACCAGCTTCATCTTTCACTTCGATTTTACACCTCTCTCGTAGAAATTTCGATTATTATACAACGATAATACCGAAGGATTGATCAATTTCGAAGCTCGTTTCGTTCCGATTCGTAACATTCAATCGGAATCTTGAGTCTCAACCGGTATTTTTTGACGATTTTTTTAGATTATTCAAAGGTCTCATCTTCGATCGAGAAACGCCGATAATAGTTAGGAAAAAGGTTGAGAAACTCCGACATAGGAAAATAGAGCTGGACTTACGTCGTTATTCCAACGATCTATGCTCGAAGAATAATCGTTTCTTAATGGAAAAGGAAGATCTCGCAGAAAGATCAGGGTGAAACTCTGATCGATCTTTACAAAGCTTTCTGGTCAGAAAATTTTCGAATGAACAACACCGATAACTATATTTTTGCTATGTACATAGCGATGAACACTGATAAACAATGAATGCACGATAAATTAATAGGTGAATTACTCTAATACAAACATCCAGCCCTATTGCTTAATTATTCGATTAAATCTGACGAAAACAGGACGCTCTGATTTCTTTTTTCCGTTCCATCAAGCAGGGATGACCCGGTTAATTTTCCTACAGCGAAACTAAATTCGCCAAATTTCCATATATCGACGGCGACAAAGCACTGCTCAGCTTTTCATTCACTCGGTGTCGATGTTTAAAATCCATTACAAATCTCCGGTGATTAATCAGCGAATTAAAAAATCGTATCCTTCCCGCGACTGTCTTACCTCGAGTTCGATCATTATACCAATGTTTTCGCTTTACAAGGTTTTGCCTAAGAGTACGCAAAAATGATTTATCGAACACCGATTCACCGTGAACTGGACGAAAAATCGTCTCGGTGATCTGTGTTCGTTTCTAGATCTGTGCATTTTGATTTGGAGCTTCAGCCACGGTTACTGTGTACACTGTTACGTATAATACATGTTAAGTATATCGTTCACATAAATAGTAGTTAGCACGCAGTCTTTCAAAGCTTCGAAAATTCTATTCCTCGCTTCGTAATCGATGCAATCCGCAATCTTTCCGCGCGACAATGCTCCCGAGAGTCTACTCGATCATCGATGATTAATACCGAGCACGAAAACGTACAGTCGATGGAAGCGATGTAAATCGAAGCGTTAAACAGCGACTCAGAGTCGTCTGTCATTTGTCAATTTTATACATCAAATTTCTGCTTACAATTTCTTTTATTCAAGCTACACGGTATTAAAAGTCTCTGTCGCCCCTTGCTCAATGGTAATTTCCAGATTAGTAAACATTAACCTGTCGACGATTAAGGCGCAGACGAAGTTCTTTAAATATACTGCAACGAAAGAAGCGGGGATCGAGATTTTTATCTCTCTCGAATTGCTGTCTTGCCGCTTCGATTATGCGTACTACTGTGCAGAGATTCGAAGATGAGCTACACCCCTCTGCGACACTCCCGAAATCTTCATACTTAGGTTCTTCGCGGCACACGTTGACATAGTAGCAGAATTTCACGAATAATTTCTACCATGAGTAGATACACTATTGCTTTGCAGTTCTTTAGATCGCTTTCTGTCGCTCTGTCTCATTCTCGTTTTCTCTCTTCGTCACACTAATTAGTAGATGTGACCATTTTGGTCTTTGTGATTGCCTATTACTCTACCCGTCTGAATTTCTCATCTCTGCATAGCAGATGTGATTATTTCGACCAATAAAAATATGCTGCCTTTATTACAGTATAATCAATCACACTTGCATTCCTTCAGTTACCCAACTTTTCATCTCTGCACAGTACTTGGACGCCTGTCCGATTTCGCGACCCACATCGCCTCCACCGACTGTACCTTTCAATTATTCTTCTCAGTCGTACCTTTCAAACTCGCTTTCCTCGCGTCTCAACGAATCGTCCTTCATTTTGATTGTCAATTTTGATTCTTCAGCGACTCACCGCGACTCCCGAGGGCGGAACTGCATTGAACGCGGTGTTGTGTCGCTTCGATTCTCGTACGTGTTCAAATTGAAACACACACGAGCGGCGGAATCCATCGGGAATATATCGGAGGTTTTTTGGGGGGAGGGGGGAGGATCGAGAGGATCGAAAAGGGGATTTTTCGTGCTTTCGTTCTCGCATACGGTTTGCTTCACGACACATATAAAAGTCCAGACTCTTTATACAGAATATTATTGCATACTACACGTTCGCCGTTTTTTTTTTTTCGGGCCACGAGGCACCCCATTTTCTTCGCTAGAAAGTATCGTAGCACGTTAAGTACGTAGAGACGAGTGGAAGAGGAACGAGGGTTTCGTCGATTTTTTTCAAGTCTCGACGTGTCTAGAGGGAGAAACGGAAGAATCATGGAACGATACACCCGAGACATTGCTATTTTCATTGCCACAGTGTTTGTTTCTTTTGATTTCGACCGTCGTCGGCCGGAACCGACGTTTGTTTTGATTACACACAGACGATTCTTTGTTTTTTTTTTTTCATTCTCTTTTGGCACGGTATTTATTGTTAAGTGTTCCGGTTTCGTCGCTCTGGATACGCGAACCTCGCTGCGAACGATCATGTCTTTCGCGTTAGTTTTTGGCAATTTTTTCATGGCGGTGTTGTTACTTCTTTTCTCTTCCTTTTGATTTCTCGCGAGGTGAAAATCAATTTTTCTACTCAGGTATCGACGATGGGAAATTTTGCAACGAAATCACTATTAAAATTAACGTTCCAGTTTGATTAGCGCAAGTTTTTCATTTGTCCGATCTATCAAAGCAGGATGTTACCACAGAAATGGTAATACGCTCGAATGAGATATTCTGTGCAGATTTTTTGATTAGCGATCGCCGCACGATTGATCGCAACAATTGTCCCGTAAGCCTCGATCAGAATTGCAGGAATTATACGCGTTAGGAGTGGCGTTTAAAATAACATTCCGTTGTTCGTGCATACATACGACTTAGATACGAGAAACATCATCGAGTCGTTCTTATCTTACAGCATTCCGAGATC